ATGAAATGTAGCCTTCAATATGGATCACAATTCAATGTAAAGAAAATAAAAACTCTCACAACTGTATCAATAGACAATATCATGATAAATGAAAAAAAATTTGAACCAAGAATTTTCTTGTGCTGCATCACAATCAATATTCATAAAACAATAAGTAAAGAATTCAAATGGCACATAACACTAGGCAAATCTGTTACATGAGAACTATTTAAGTGCTGAAAAGCAAGGATGTCATTTTGAGATCCATAGCAAACCTGACCACAGCCATGGTACTTTTAATCACCTCATATTCATGTGAAATGTGGGCCATTGATAAGGAAGAGCAAAGAAGAATTATTCTATTTGAATTATTCAGTTGGCAACAAACATTAAAAGTACCATTGATTGCCAGACAAAAAAACCCCAAAATTTGTCTTAAAGAACCTACAATTATAATGTTCCTTGGATCCATACCCTTTGGGCATGTTATCAGGCCAGCCATTGGAAAAGGATTTTACATGCTTGGTAAAGAAGTGTATCAGTGAAAAGGGGGAAGACCCTCTACAAGATGGACTGACACAGTGGTTTCCACAATGGGCTCAAACTTAGGAACAATTGTCAAGATGGCTCAGGCCCCAGTAGAGTTTCATTCCATTATACATAGGGTTGCTATGAGTTGGACACCACTGGACATCACCTAACAACAATAACATGTTTTTGTTTATCTTAGGTGCCATCAAGTCAGTTCTCACCCACAGTGACCCCATAGATAGCAGATCAAAAGACTGCACTTTCCTGTTGCCATCCATACAATAGTTGCTGATGCAAAATCATGATCCTTTCTCTTGTTGTTGCCATTAATTTACAAAGCATGGTGTCCTTCTCCAGGGACTAGTATCACCTGATAACACGCCCAAAATATGTAAGATGAAGATCTGACATTCTTACTTCTAAGGAACACTGTGGCTGTACTCCAAAAAAGATTTGTTTGTCCTTTTGACAGACCATGGGACTCAATATTCTTTGTAGCACCACAAATCAAATGCATTGATTCCTACTCCATCTTCTTTATTCAACATCCACTTTCATGTGCATATGAGGTCATTGAAAATGTCATGGCTTGTGTCAGGCACTCCTTAGTAACTCCTCAAAGTCTTGCGCAGCATATTTACTCAATGCAATTCTTTCTTCTTCTTCTTTTTTAATCTCTTGACTGCTGCTTCCATGAGCATTGATTGTGGATCCAAGTAAGACAAAATCCTTGATGAATTTAATCTTTTCTCCATTTATCATGATTTGCAAGTCCTCTTCACTTTCAGCAAGACAGGTTGTGCTGTCTGCATATTGAAGATTGTTATTAAAGCCTTCCTTTAATCCCGCTACTAAATTATTCTTCTTATAATCCTGTTTCTCTGATTGTTTGCCCAGCATGCAGTTTGAATAAGTATGGTAAAAGATTACAACACTGATGTACACCTTTCTTGATTTTAAACCATGCAATATGCCTCTTGATATCTATAGTTTGTTATCATCCACACGGTCGAATGTCTTGGCATAATCAATAAAAAAAACAGTAATATATTTTTGGTTTTCCCTACTTTCAGCCAAGATCCATGTGACATGAGTGATATTTCTTGTTCTGGCAGTTCCCTGTTAATGTACTTCTACTACTGCTGTTGGGTGATTTTCAGCCAAATTTTACGTGAATGTGATATCATGGTATTGGTCTATGTTTTGAGCATTTTCTTTGGAATAGGTACGAATATAGAGCTCTCCCAATCAGCTTGCGAAGTAGTAAACTATTGATAAGTTTGAGAAAAATGGGAATTTTAAAACAGTTCAGTTTGCTTATATTGTACTTATACATAGATCAGAGGCAATTCTGAAAACAGAGCAAGGGTATATTGCATGGTTTAGGTTTAAAAATCAAGAAATGTGTATATCAGGGTTATATTCTCTCACCATACTTATTCAATCTGTATGTTGAGCAAATCATCAGGGAAGATGTATTATATGAAAAAGAATGAGGCATCAGGATTAGAGGAGGGCCTACAAATAACGTGACATGCAGGTGACTCAACCTTGTTTGCTGAGTGTGAGGAGGACTTGGAGCACTTACTAATAAAGATTAAGGCTTGCAACCTTCCGTATGGATTACAACCCAATGTAAAGATGACCTAAATCCTCACAACTGGACTAATAGGTGACATCATGATAAATGGCAACAATTTTGGTCAAGGATTTTGCCTGCTTGGATCCACAATCATACTCATGGAAGCAGCACTCAAAAGATCAAAAAATGCACTGCATTGTGTAAATCTGCGACACAAGAGCTCTTTAGAGTATTGAGAAGCAAGCACGCTACCATGAGGACTAAGGTGTACCTGACAGAGCCATAGAATTTGCGATTACCTCATCCATATATAAAAGTTGGACATTGAATAAGGAAGTCTGAAGAAGAATCAGTGCATTGGAATTATGCTGCTGGCAAAGAACACTGAATGTGCCACAGAGTGCCAAAAAGTAATCAAACTTGTCTTTGAAGAAATACAGGCAGAGTGCTCCTTAGAGACAAGCTTGGGAACACTTCCGGTTACATACTTTGACATGTTGTAAGGGGAGATCAGTCCCTGGAGAAGGACTGCATCCTTGGTAAAATAGAGGGGCAGCAAAAAAGAGAAAGTCCCTTAATTGTTTGGATTGACACCATGGCTACAACAATGTACTCTAGTGTGGGAATATTTGTGGAGATGTGCATGACTTTGAAGTCTTTTGTTGTGCTGTGCATAGGGTCTTTATGGGTAGGAACTGACTCGATGCACCTGACACAACAGTACTTCATGCATTCCAAGCTCTGATTATTAGTAGATTTCTGCAGCTGTTTCTGCTCACATTCAGGTGTGACCCATCAGCAAATTAAGACCCTGGAGACTCCATTCCCACACTCTTGTCATCTTCGATGACTCTTCTTTGAGAAAGGAGCTCCTCCTCAGTTACATTTCATGTGCCTTCTGACTCCAGGGGACCCTCCTCTGGCACTCTCTCAGACAATGCTCTGCTTCCATTCATTAGGCATTCCGTATCTGACATTGTGTCCATAGCATGCATAACATTTTCAGCAGCTACTGCTTCTGAAGTGGGCAGCTGATTCCTTCTTCATATTCACCACTTGCCATTGTATAGTCATGTAGTGGCTTGTGTGTTACTGTGATGCCGGAAGCTATGTCATTGCTGGCAGAGCCACTCAGAGTGAATAGGTTTCAGTGATGCTCACAGACAAAAAACAGACTACAAAGAATAACAACAAAACACTTTTAAAAAATGCATCCATGTAAAACTGAATGACACCAAAATGAAATAAAATAGTTTAGAACCAATTGTGATTGATATTTACAAATTGGAGATAATTTGATTGACAATATAAAATAAGTAACCAAACTCCTGACCATTGAGTAGATTCTGACTCAGGGCAAACCTTTAAGACAGAATAGAACTGTCCCATAGGATTTCCAAGGATTTATGGCTATATCTTTATGGAAGAATACAGTCTCATATTTCTCTGACATTGCTCTGATGGTTTCATACCAAAGACCTTTCTATGACCAGCACAGTCTCAAACATATTTTACTGTGAGGTAAAAACAATGTGCTTCGTTAAGCTAATAAGACATTCCAGAAGACCTAATGGCATAAGAAAAACTAATGACTTTAGTGTAGCAAGTAAAATATTTAACAAGAGAAAGTATGAAAAAAGAAAACTTTAAAGTTTGAATTAATAGGTTCCAAAGATTTTAGCACTTTTAGATTTCTAAAGTGTGAAATTGAGAAAAAAATTATTCAAGGAAAAATAATTGAGTGCAAAAGAAGGACATTTCTAAATCTACTGACAAAAATATAAATATGATTCAAAGGTCTCGTGTTTATACTGTTGATCTTCATTGTTTCCTCTTTTAAGCCTAACATGATTTCTATCTGTTTTCAAATAATTCATATTCTTGATATGTAATCTTATATTAATCTCACAGCCTAAAATAGTTTTTGTCATACTATTATATATGTTAGCTAAATAGCTTGCTGGAGCTTAACTGAGACATTATGCTTTGAACTTTTATCAACAAGGATGATATGAAGTAAAACAAGCTTTGGTCGATTGTGTGTTCTTTTAACATTTTTTATATTTAATAATACTGAATACATTAATAATTTTATGTACTTAAAAAACCAAATGAGGATTAAAAATATACAATCAGGAAAATTCAAAGGACAAAATGTCATATAAAATGCTACACAAGTGCAGATTAAATACTCTTAATTATGGAGAAAATTTGAGAATAAAACTTTAAAAAATATAGGTCTTGAAAGGAATACTGAGCTTATAACATTAATGAATAAATTAATTGAACTTTTAATTTTAATAAAGAGATATTGAGCTTCAAGGAAAGCTCACACATATTCCTTAAGCTATGAAAAATAAAGATTACACAATTACTGGACCCCACATCACATATTGTAATGAGTGAGTTAAAAAAAATTTCTCTCAAAAAAGACAAAAACCAGTCAAGTATGAGTAAGTAGAAAACTAATAAGAACCCACATGTTTTTGTCATCCAAAAAAGTCTAAGAAAGATAGGTGAAAATCAAGATACAATTTCTCTGAGCCCTTCTCTTCTATAAACTTGATGTCTAAGTGGGATATGTTCAGGTTAATGTTTTCTGTAATTATAGATTCAATTATTTAAGTAGATGATATATTTTATATGTGATGCCTGGTAATCACTGTAATTAAATTAAAATAATGGTCTCTAAGCAATCTAAAATACTAATTTCCTATGCACTGGTGAATAGTTCTGATAACCTATAATTATGTTATAGGTTATCAACATATATGACGTGTGTAGATTACTTTCCACGGAAGAATCTTAATCATCTGGATATTAAAGGAGGTGCTTAGTAAAAAACCAAACACTCTAAAATGGATACTGGAAAATTTTTCTTCAGATATTATGCCCCAGCAAAGAGGGTTTAGTTCAGAGACTTTGAAAACCTAAAAACTTTAAAGAACCTGTCCCGTATCTTCTTGGTTCTTACGCCATAGATAATGGGATTCACCATTGGTGGGACCAGAAGATAAATGTTGGCTACAAATATATGGACATGTGGAGCTACATGGTGGCCAAATCTGTGAGTGAGAAAAGAGAAGAAAGCTGGCGTATAAGACACTAGGATGACAAGGACATGAGAGCCACAGGTACCCAGCGTCTTGAGCCTGGCATCCTTCGTTGGGAGGTGGAAGACAGTGTGGAGTATGAGTATATAAGAACAAATTATCAGTATGAAGTCCACCCCTCCAGTAAGGAAAGCAACAATTAGACTATACGCTCTGCGAATTCTTGTCTCAGCACAGGAGATTTTGATGAGGGCCATGAACTCACAGTAAGTATGAGGAATTATATTGGTTTTGCAATAGGGAAGCCAACGCAGCAGGAAAGGGTGAGGACTGAGAAGCACGGTGCCCCGAAGTACAATAGCAAAACCCATCCCCTTTACCACTGTGTTTGTCAGAATCATTGAATGTCTTAATGGATTACAAATGGCTACATAGCGGTCAAAAGCCATGACCAAGAAGAACCCAGATTCCATGGTGGAGCAAGAATGAATCAGGAACACTTGGGTAAGACAGGCTTCCAAGCGAATCTCTCCATCATCAAACCAAAAAAGACTGAGTAGTTTTGGCACCGCTGTGGTGCACACAATAAGGTCAGCCACAGCCAACATGCAGAGGAAGAGGTACATGGGCTCATGAAGGCTAGGATCTGTCTTGATGACAAATAAAAGGGATAAGTTTCCCAGCAAGGCCAAAATGTAGACCACACAGAAGGGGATGGATATCCAGATGTGGGCTGCCTCCAAACCAGGAATGCCAAGGAGAATGAAGTTTGAAGGGTGAACATCAGTCTTATTATAGGATAACATAACAATTGTCAGTTTAAGCTTGTTTTTCATTTATTTTCCTGTAAGATAAACAAAAACTTCATTTATAAATTTTGGCATGTCTGATCAGCAAAACAATCCAAAATGCAAGCAAGTGCAGGCCACTGAATAATTGCAATGCTTGCAAATATTCTGATAAAAAGTATTTCATCATCTGACAGGATGCCACTTAATACTTTTCTTTTCCCCTCTCTCTAAAAGGGTAACACCTAAATCAATTTTTGAGAGAATCTTCAGTGAGAAATGTAACATCTAGTTTATTATCTTTATGTAGAGCCACTTTGAGAATGTAGATCGAGCTTTGTGAATCTCCTTATCCAAAACAGAACAGTTACAACAATGTGTACTAATGTTTTGCCTTGTATGTGCTTTTTTAAAAGAATTTGCAGTGTAATTTATATAGATATACTCAAAATGATAAAGTATAGCTGCCCCTGTGTATTTCCAAGACTTTAACTCTTTATGGGAATAGACGCCTTGTCTTTCTTCCTAGGGACTGGCTGGTGGTTTTGAATTGCTGACCTTGAGGTTAGCAGTCCAACCCATACCACTATGCCACAGTAGCCATAAACAGTGTATTATTCCTAAGCACAGGCAGCCCAAAACATAAGAAAAAATATAATTACAACCTCTGAGTTAAAATGCTTCACTCCGTTCTCTAAATATATTATTGTCAGTTTAAAGTACAAATCACCCCCTAATCCTGTGTAAGCCTCAGAAAAATTGACATTTTTGAGCCGTTGTTTTAGCCATTGTGTCAATCTATCTAATTGAAAGTTTTCCTCTTTTTCACTCAACTTCCACATTATCAAGCATGGTACCTTTCTCTAGGAGTTCATCCTACCTGATAATATCCAAAATACCTGAGATCACTACCCTTGCTTCTAAGGAGCTTTCTAGTTAAACTTCTTCTAAGACAGTTTTACTCATCTACTATATATTAAACCTTTTCCACCAATTCTGTAGTGTAAAGGAATAAATTCTGTGGCCTTCTTTTTCATTGTCCAGAATCTCAATGTGCGCGAGGCAAATGATAAAACCATGGCAATGGTAAGCTGCATGTTAGTCTTAAGATCTTAAAATTGACATATTTGCTTTCAACACAACTTTGCTTTTAAAGAGATATTTTGTAGCTAAGTTGCCCAATGTGATGTGCACTTTGATTTCATGACTGATGTTTTCATGAGTATTGATTGTGAATCTAAGAAAAAAGAAATCCTACACAACTGTAATATTTTCCTCATTTGTTATGGCATTGCTTACTGGTGTAGTTGTGAGGATGTTTATTCCTGATATTGAGATGTAATCATACTGAAGACTATAGTCTTTTATTTTTAACTATGTAAGTGCTTCAAGATCTATTCATTTTCAGTAAGCAAGCTTGTATTGTTCATATATAACAAGTTGCTAATGGGTCTTCCTCTAATCCTGACACCACATTCTTTTTCACAGAGTAAGAATGACAAGATTTCTTCTTATGTACTTTGGACATGTTATCAAGAGAGACCAGTACCTGGAGAGATCACCATGCTTGGTAAAGTGGTGGGGCAGTGAAAGAGAGGAAGGCCCCCAATAAGATAGATTAAACAGTGGCTGCGACAATGGGCTCAAACATAAGAACAATTGTGCGGATAGCCCAAGACTAGGCAGTGCTTTGTTCCATTGTACATGGGGTGCTATGAATCAGACTCGACATCTAACAACAGCTCAAGTTAGTTGCTCAGAATACAAAAGATTATGGATGGTGAAGAATTCAACACTGCCACACCCCTTTCCTCTTTTTTAAATAACAGATGCCTGTTTCTTGATCTTTCTTGTGGTTCAGCATGAGTACAAATGAGTGTTCTGGATGGCTCATTCTTCAAAATATTATTCATACTTTGTTATGATACACCCAAACAAATGTCTTTGCATAGTCAATAAAACTCACATAAACATCTTTCTGTGGTTCTCTGCTTTCACCAATACCCATCAGACGACAGCGATAATCATTTATGCCATGACCGCTTTGGAATCTGGTTTGATTTTTTGCCATTACCTGTCAATTTATTATTGCCACCATTTTAAAATTGCATGCAGCAAAATTTTAGGTATGTGCAATATTAATGACATTGTTAGTTTATTTCTTCATTCGGTTAGACAACCTTTCTTTGGAATGGGTATGAATATTGATCTCTTTCAGCCAGCTGGCCAGGTAGCTGTATGCAATTTTAATGGCACCTGCAGCTCTGCATTAATTTGTTTAAGACCCAGGGTTGGGGGATGTCTGCCCGAGCGACATATAAGCCCCAAGAAATAATCGATACCAGCTACCATCACATGCCTCACCAAAGAGAAGCTTAGTTATTTAAATGTTTGGATGATTGTATAAATTTATAAATGGCTATTGGCAGAATAAAAGGTTCCCCACCTTTAAACTTTAAGTATTTCAAGTGGTATTCAGACAAGTCCTAGAGCCTTGCTTTTTCCCCAATGCATGCAGTTCAGTTTGGACTTCTTCCTTCACCACCATTAGTTCTTGATCATTCACCACCTCCTCAAGTTTTTGATTGTCAACCAATAAATTCTCTTTGAAACTCTATCTCTGTGTATCCTCCCATCTTCTTTGGATGTTTCTGACATCCTTCAATATTTTGCACATAGAATTTTGAATACTACAACTGGTGATTTGAATTTTTCTTCAATTCTTTTAGCCCAAGCAATTCTGATTGTATTCTTTCCTTTCTATTTTCTAGTTCCAGGTCATTGCTCATTCCATTATAAAGCTTTGTCTTACCAAGTTTCATTTATTCTGTGCAGGTCTTTCAGTTTATCATTTCTTTGTTTCTCTTTAAGTACAATACATTCAAGGGCAATAATAGAAATGCTTAAATTCAGAAACCATTCCAAGAGTAGACTTGACACATTGAAACTAATGGCTGAAAAGTAGATGTCATGTCTCAACTTCATCCAAGTTTCTAAGGTTGACTCTACTTTGAGGACAGCTTAGAAAGACAAAGTAAAAAATTATAATGAAATGTGCAAAGACTAGGGTTAGAAAACAAACAAACACACAAAAAAGGTAGAACACACTCAACATACCTTAACTAACCTAAAGAAAAAAAATAATATCCTCAGTTGCAATATTGAAGGACATGGGCAAAATATTGACTGATGCCAAGAAGCATCAAAAGTAGATGAAAAGAATACACAGAGTTGCTGTAGCCAAAAAACTAATGGACGGTCAACCAATTCAAGAGAGAATATGAGCAAGAACCAATGATATTGAAGGAAGAAGTCTAGGCTGCCCTGAAAGCAGTGTAAAAAAAAAGGCTCCAGGAATTGACAGACTACCAATGGAAATGTTTTAACAAGCTGGTGATCCACTGGAAACACTCCCTTGTCTCTGCCAAGAAATTTGTAAATAGCTACTTGCCCAAGGGACTGGACAATATCCATATTTGCAACCATTTCAAAGAAAGGTTACCGCACAGAATGTTCAAATTATAGAAAAATACCATTGATATCACATGCAAGTGAAATTCTGCTGAAAATCATCCAATAATTATTGCAACACTATATTGAAAGAGAATTGTCAAGGGTTCAGACTTGTTTCAGAAGAGGATGCGGAACAAGGCATTTCATTGTTGATGTCAGATGGTTTGAGCTGAAAACAAAGAATACCAGAAAGATGTTTCCTTTTGTTTCATTGACTATGCTAAAACATTCAATTGTGTGGTCCATAACAAACTATGGATAGCCTTGAGAATAATTGGAATTCTAGAACTTCATTGGACTCATGTTAAGCCAGATCAAGAATTGGTCATGCAACTAGAACAAAATAATATTGCATGGCTTAAGATCATGAAAAAATTTACATTAGGATTGTATCCCCTCACCATACTTACTCAAACTTTATTCTGAGAAAATGATCAGATAAATTGTATTATATGAAGAAGAATGTGGCATTAGAATAGGAGGAAGGCTTATTAGCAACTTGCAATATGCGGATGATACAAACTTACTTGGTAAAAATAAGGAGAATTTGAAGCACTTGCTGATGAAGATCTAGGATTTCAGCCTTCAGTGTGGATTACAACTCAATATAAAGAAAATCAAAATCCTGACCCTGGACCAATAAGTAAAATCATGACAAATGGAGAAAAGATTAAATTGCGAAGATTTTGTCTTGCTTGGAATCACAATAACTGTTCATAGAAGCAGCAGTCAGAGATCTAAAGATGCCTTGCTTTGAGTAATTCTGCACAAGACCTCTTTAAAGTATTGTAAAGCAAGGACCTTACTTGGAGGACTAAGGTGTGCCTGACCCTTGACATGGTGTTTTCAGTGGTCTCATATACATGTGAAAGTTTGACATTGAATAAGAAAGACGGAAGAAGAATCCATGTGTGTGATTATCGTACAGGCAAAGAATATGAAAATTACCATCTCTTGACAAAAGAATATTCATATCATAGAGAAATACAGTTAGATTATTCCTTAGATGCAAGGATGATGAGACTACATGCCACGCACTTTGGACATTTTATTGGGAGAGACCAATCCCTGGAAAAGGATATTATGCTTAGTAAAGTGGAGGGGCAGCCAAAAAGAGGAATGTCTTTGACAAGAGGGGTCAACACAGTGGATGCAACAATGGGCTCAACATAAAAACCATTATGAGCATGGAGCAAGACCACAAGTTATTTCATTCTGTGGTACATAGGGTCACTATGGGTGAGAATCAACTCAACAGCATCTAACAACACAGATAGGTGACAATTTATACATATCCCAGTGTTTACATGCATGGATTTGTTATAAACAAAACATCTTCAAATAGAGAAGCTCTCTCAGTAATACACTTGCCTTAATTCTTGTAAGGATGTTTGTGGTTAGGTGCTCTCAAGTCTGATTTTATTCATACTGTTTCCCTGTACAACAGAACAGAACATGGCCTAATCCTGCACCATCTTTTTTGTATACTGTACCAGCCATGAGGCCTTTCTCCAGTCTCTGGGTCATTTGATAAC